CGTTCTGTTATTAAACGAGAACGAGGACCTGGTTGACAGCGGAGCGGAATCAAAGCCGTCATTGCGAATGGTAGCAAGTGTCGGGGCATTTACGTCGTCGACCGGCGTCGGGTTAGGTTCTTGATGTTGCCCTGGTTGCATCTTGATAACTACACCTCCGCGAGGTGGATGCCAATAGTGATTCGGTTTCTTTCTTTTTTTTTTTTTTTTTTTTTTTTTTTTTTTTTTTAAGGAATATTCGGTATAAATGAACTAACTACCAAGGATTGGGAATAACAGCTTTCCCTTGTGCAGTATAAGAAATTTCCGGCAATCTACAAAGTATCGCCCGCGTAGCTGAGCGACGATGGTCTATATATGTTATTATCGGAAACCAGAATCCAGGGCATATGATAAAGCACCACAAGTTGTCGTGGCAAAGGTACAGAGGATCCACAAATAGATAAGATTTTGAAGATTTTTGTATGGCGCGGTGGATCATCGACCATGATCCACTGCACCCTTACTGAGGGATTGCGCGTAGAGCATTTGCCCGCTAAATAGGTAGTAACCCTATCGCTTAGTCGAATTTGATATCAGCCGGCGGGTCCTTCGGCATCATCAGCCCTGGGTAAATTGAATTTTGCCATTCATATTATCCGATGATATTATACTGTTCCTATCTTCAGAACACTATTCACCATTGAGATTCTGTATAGCGCCGCAACCCACTTGTCGAACTTTTGATATGAAACAGGATTTGGAATTTGTGTGGTTGGGTTTCCTACATAGCAGACGATCATCGACATCCTACATATGCAACCACTGACGATCATCCGCCCCTTAAATTCACACTGCACATGAACGCAGGTTATCTGACATGGTTTCATTCTTGCTTCAGGAACGCGTACGCTGCTTATCAAAACAATAATCCCAGCAGAGTCCAAAAATATCACTGACTATTCCCGCCACTCACTTCTGATTATTTCAGCACCCGTGATATCCTTAGATTTGCTTCCACCTTTTCATAAATGTCTTCATCATTTTCAAGCCTTCTTAGGGTATTTCCAGTTTCGGATGTATTCTGCATCTAAACCATTGTCGAATGCCTCTTGCTTAGCAGCTAGTTGCTGGTTGATCAACTTTTCTCGGACATGAGACGCCGTGTTGCCGAGGGATCGTACACGGTCAATAGCATCGATGGCAAGACTGTATCGGTCGGTCTGGTTCCTAACGGCTAGTTCGAACGGAGTATCGATGTTACCCTTTTCTCTGTACCCTCTCACATGTAGGTTATGTTGCCCCGGTCGCTTGTAGGTTAGACGGTGGATGAGCCAAGGGTACGAATGGAAGTTGAAGATGATCGGCTTATCGTCAGTAAACACAGCCTTCCATTTTCGGTCAGGCATGCCATGCGGGTGGTCTTTCTCGTTGATGAGCCGGAATAAATCGACTACGTTCACAAATCGGACCTTGAGTTGGGGAAGATGTTCGTTCAACAACGCCGTTGCGGCGAGAGCCTCGTGGGTGGGTACATCACCACACGAAGCCATCACAAGATCGGGCTCTTGGCCTTGATCATTACTTGCCCAGTCCCATATTCCAAGACCTTTGGTGCAGTGTTCAATGGCTTCATCCATACTGAGAAATTGGATGTGTTCTTGCTTGTCAGCAACAACCACATTGACGTAGTTGACGCTGCTGAAGCAGTGATTCATAACTGAAAGAAGCGTGTTCCCGTCGGGTGGCAGATAAATTCGAACTACCTCCGGGCTCTTGTTTGCAACAACATCCAGGAAACCAGGGTCCTGATGGGTGAAGCCATTGTGGTCTTGCCTCCAGACGGTCGCGGTCAGGAGGATATTGAGAGACGCGACCTTTGCACGCCATTCCACTTCTAAGCACTTTTCAATCCATTTGCAGTGCTGATTAACCATCGAATCAATGACGTGGATGAAAGGCTCGTAGCTGTTTAGTATACCATGGCGACCGGAAAGCACATACCCTTCCAGCCAGCCTTCGCAGGTATGTTCACTGAGCATCTCCATTACCCGACCTTCGTAGGCCAGGTTTCCTCCATCCTTATCTTCTTCAAAGTAGTCACCCAGCCAAACCTTCTTGCCGGCTTTGTAAATCTCTGCAAGCTTGTTTGACTCTGTTTCATCCGGACCAAATACACGGAAAGTGGTCATATTTTCTTTGACCACATCCCTCAAATACTTTGACATATTTGTCATGCTCCCGCGCACAGAAACTCCGGGGTCAATGTCTTCGAGAGCATAGTCCCGGAAATCTGGCAGTTGAAGAGGCCTGCGAAGTATACCGCCGTTGCCGACAGGGTTAGCACTCATACGAGCATTGCCTGAGGGCGCGAGCGCTTTCAGCTCGGCAATGAGCTTGCCATCTTTGTCAAAAAGCTCCTCGGGCTTGTAACTCTTCATCCACGTCTCAAGAAGCTTCAGATGAGCAGGGTTCGTCAGGACATCAGTTATCGGGATTTGATGAGAGCGCCAAAAGCCCTCAAGCAGCTTTCCGTCAATCTCCCTTGGAGCAGACCACCCTTTGGGACTCCGGAGAACAATCATCGGCCAGCGGGGTCGGAATGGCTTCTTCGACTCCCTCGCTTGCTTTTGAATTTTTTTGATCTCCACAACGCAGTGTTCCAGTGTAGCTGCCATTGCTTGATGCATGCTTTCTCTATCATTGCCTTCCACAAAATATGGCGTCCATCCATAGCCCACAAACAGCGCTTTTAGTTCTTCATGGCTGATGCGAGCAAGGACGGTCGGGTTGTTGATTTTGTATCCGTTGAGATGGAGGACAGGGAGAACGGCCCCGTCGGTGCATGGGTTGAGGAATTTAGTGCTATGCCAACTAGTCGCAAGTGGACCAGTTTCTGACTCTCCATCCCCGACCATCGTCAATGTAATGAGGTTGGGATGGTCAAAGACACTTCCAAAGGCGTGAGAAATCGAGTATCCCAATTCACCACCCTCGTGAATAGAGCCCGGCGTTTCCGGGGTCGCATGTGAACCAATGCCTCCTGGAAATGAGAATTGCTTAAAGAACCTCTGCATACCCTTTTCGTCTTGGGACTTGTCCGGATACACTTCGGAGTAGACGCCCTCCAGATATGAATTCGAGAGAACAGCTGGGGCACCATGACCAGGACCGGAAACGAAGAGGACATCCAAATCATACTTTTTGATCAGGCGGTTCATATGAATCCAGGTAAAGGACTGGCCGGCATCCGATCCCCAGTGACCGAGCAGCCGAGCTTTGAGGTGTTCCACCTTTAGGGGCTCCTTAAGCAGGACATTGTCTCGCATATAGAGCATGCCCAAGCATAGATACATACTTGCTCGGAAGTATGCGTCCATTTTGCGGGCTTCATCTGCGTCCAAGGGCTGCCCCTTGACAGTGGAGCGGGTGGCTCCATACGCGCTGATGTTGTCATCGGGTTCGCTGCTGGGCGCCATTTTGAGATATGACAAGGCTATTAGACTTCGAAATGTCTTGAAATTTAAGTAAATAACAGTAACATATATTATAGGCTACTTAGTGTCGAGTTCGAGTGTTGGAGAAGTCAATCCTCCAAGGGTGCTCCTAGCATGAACTCAACATGAACACTGGATTGATATTTAAATCCATGACAGGGCAATAATATAGCTGATGAGAGTACCCTGACGTAGCTTTTCCTTTTGTTGCGTGGTTTCGGAAGCTCAGGATATGGGACGGAGTCGATGACGTCCAGCGTACCATCCGTCAAGCTTCCAGACCCAACCTCATAACCTGTTTTTTTTACATAAGTGCATATTTAGTACTGAGTAGTACTAGTAGGCCACTCCTAGTATTTTATTCTTCTGTGCCAGTAATTGACCTTTTTTATTGGGTTAGCGGGCACTGGCTTCCCACCTAGAGACAGCGAATAACAGCGAAGTATAAGATAATTGCACCACTTTAGCTTCGCGAAAAGGCACCCTTGGTGGGGAAAGAAGCTTGCATACTAGGAGCTCAAAGCTCTAGCTAGTACCACGTCTTGCCAGGAATGAGATACTTCACCTCTTCCAAGCGGTACATACGCACACTATATTCTTGACGATATTACCATAGTGTCAGCTTGAAAAGGATGTAGCACGAGATACCCTTAAAACATCGGGCAGGGTATATTCATCTTGGAGTATTAGTCTATATTTAGACTCAGGTCATGGAGTATTGAGCTCTGAAAAAGTTGATGTGTGTCTGGAGAAGTTCTAATAAATCTCCCACAGTCAGTCCGGGGAACTGTACCCGAGATCCTCTATCCGCAACATTCAGACTCGAGCGATCAAGCGATCACCTTCTTTCATCAATTTCCCCGAGTGAATGCAAGCGTTCGCACTCAAGACATGCATCATTTGCAGATTTAACCATTGTTCATCATGCCCTAACCAAAATGACCGGCTCAACGAGAAAGATGGCGTCCGACGCCTACAACGCTAGGGAGCTACTTGGAGCTGGCCTTTGCTTTCCGTCGTAATGAAGGCGCTCAAACGGTTATCAAAAGCGGTTTAGATGTCTAGCTTCGAAGACATACAGCTATAGAACGTTTTAGAAATGGCTGGAAGAGGAATTCCATCTGAAGTCTCTCCTTCTCCGCCGGCACTACAACTTGACTTGTGAACACATCTTGGATTAAATTTCCCCCCAATTTGGCCATTGCTCATACATATCTATCACTGATCAGTGCTAAATGCTTCATAAGATTTTTCAAACACCAGTGACAACTTCTCAGCCATTTAACCTGGAAATCCGCTCTTGTCCTAGCTTGAGCGGCAAGAGAAATGAGTTGGTGAATAGCTCTTACATGGTTTTTCGCTCATATACTGTAATACCGTCTATACCCACTACAGTTCTACCATCATGCGAGCGGATGCTCAAGAGTACATGTTTCTACCATTTTGCTGTCACTTCCATGCCGCGTGGGTCGAACTCGGGTACACGTACCCGAGTCGGAAAAAATCATCTAGCCGCTGAAAAGGAGCAGTATATATGGCCTCTACAGTCCGAATTAGGGCGCTAGTCATTTTTATCTCTTATATAACTTCCGGCAATTCTCTTGGTGTCATTTAACCGTATCAATTGATGCGTCACCTGTGGTCGCGCACGATCTATTGTAAAGGCCATCATAGTTCAACACCCCGGGCAACAATTTTAGCGGTTTACCAACGGAAAGCGTTCTGTTGCCAGGCGAGGGTTTTGAATTCAGCAACGCAGGAAACCTATTCCAGACTCTTGATCAAGTATAAAATGGCCCAGTCAGCATCAACTTCGTCATTGCGCTTTGCAGATGTGAGCTTCAATAAGAATCACCAAACGCCTGAGTACTGCTTACCACCGAACAGGTCGCCGTTACATACACCGCAGACCAATTTCAGGGCATCTATCGAGGCAAACAGTACCATGAATCAGACTTCGCAGAAGTCCTTAAACGTGCCAAAGAGTATGGCTGCGACAAGATCATGCTCACTACCATGACCCTTCCAGGAGCTCATGAGAACTTGAAAGTTGTGAAAGAATTTCCGGACATGTGCACTATGACATTAGGGGTGCATCCGTACCATGCGGCCGAGATATACGTTGAAAATGATGGAAGCGAGTATCTTGGAAACCTTCGCAAGCTTGGAGAAACCCTTCGAGCCGAGAATCCGTCGCCACTGGTAGCCTTCGGAGAAATTGGACTTGATTATGAATATTTGGACCGCGCCGACAAAGCGACCCAGCAGCGTGCTTTCCGCGACCAGCTGGAACTGGCCATCGAATTTCAATTACCTCTTTTCCTGCATGTGCGCGAGTCGTGTGCCGATTTCATTTCGATCATCCGACCTTACCTGTCCAAGTTGCCGCGCGGCGGGTTGGTGCATTCTTTCGCTGGGTCGAAAGAGGAGATGTTGCAGTTGGTTGAGCTGGGCTTTGACATCAGTGTCAATGGTGTTTGTTTCCGTACTGAAAAACAACTGGAGATGGTCCGGCACATTCCCTTGGACAAACTGCAGCTTGAGACCGATGCTCCGTGGTGTGAGATTCAAAACAATGACGAGAAAATTGCCCCATTTCTCGCCAATGCAAAGCCGCTACCTCCATCTCGCAAGCACAACAAATTTATTCTGGGACAAATGGTCAAGACGAGAAATGAAAGCTGTACGATTGAACGTGTTGCTCTGGTTGTGGCAGGCTTGAAAGGTATTTCACTGGAGGAGATCTCACAGGCGGCGTGGAATAACAGTGTTCGAATGTTCGGTTTAGGAGTACAGGGTCAGTGATCTTGAGATAATCCTGTTTACATTTACTATAGAGTATCGAGTACATAGAGATTATGCGCATATAGACATGACATTCACGCTCGAGCAGACGCCGTGCCTTTACATCTACAGTACGTTTAATCTCGATATATGACGTCTAATGCATGTTGTAGTTCCTTGAGAGTGTAAATAGCATACCCTCAAGAAATTTAGTGCACATAGTAGGCGAAACACTGTGCTTATGAATCTTGAGCGACATATAATGGCCATTTTGGAATAATACTGTTCATGTATTTAGTATCTAGTATCTAGTAGCATATTCACTCAGTCGGGGAGGAGGGAACGAGACAATCGCACGCTCTAGTCGGGTAGTAAGATCGCAAAAGAGATACTCTCCAACCTGGTATGAGGTGCTAACTCGAAAATCCAGGCTATCTGGTATGTACTGCCCGAGGCACCCAGGCTCCCGGCCCTTGGAGTATAAACCCTCCCCTCGTCCTCCTTCACAAAGCCTCTTCTCTATGTTTTTTCTCCTTGACTCTGACTCCAACGACCAGCACAGCAACCCGTTTGTTCGATCGCCAGTTCAAGTAATCTTCCTAATGCTATTGCAACATATCCCCCAGACTCACATCGTGCTCAAATCCCAACTCGGTGTCTTCGTCGCAACAATAATGTAATTACCCAACAGCCTCAAGCGGAATCCCGCCTCACAGTAGATGAAATCATACAACCATTTCTTACGGAATGCCTCGACGTTTTGATCGGACGCATCAGGTTGTGCAGCCCGGAACGCCGCCTCGATAATCCCCAAGTTCCGGAGGAAGTTGTCTCTCCAAGCACAGAGCGTCTTGCCATAATGCGGTCCAATGTTCATAACTTAGGCAACTTCTAACTTGCCATTCGATCCATTGTGTACCGCATCCAGGAGAGCATGGAGGGTTGGGAGGTAACCCCCAAGGAAGATATATCGGCCGATAAAGGTCGGTACACTGTATTTGGACCAGCGTGTCTGAGGTAGTGCGTTAGCACCAGGAAACCCGACTCCGAAACAGACGACTAACCTTGTTCGTCATGGGAATCCCATCAATGACCATAATGCCATTTCTAGGATGAAGCAGAGAGCAGATGGTACGAAAATACTCGTGTAGATATTCTGCGCTGGCGTGCTCGAACATTCCAATCGAGATTACATGATCGTAGTACCCTTCATTACTTTCAGGTCCAGTTGCGGATCGATAATCCTGAAGACGAATTTGAACACGTTCCTTCTTTGACCCGTTTTCCCGCAACTCTATTCTGATTATCGGATAGAGTCAGGGCTGTTACTCGACACCCGGTCGTGTGAGCTGCTGCGATGGCTACATCTCCCTATCCGCATCCGATTTCGAGAACATGTTAGTCCGCTGATATCTAGGCTTTCTGTAGTAGACGCTGGACATTTTACTTTGCTTGCTACTTCTAAGGCCTCAGTGGGATCCCCGCTCCAGTAGTCGCAAGAGTGGTCTATGTCTAGAGAAAGAAAGTCCCTTCCAATACTTCAGCTAGTCATTAACACATTCCTTCCCGCGGCGCAAGAGCATTGTGTCTCAAATCGTCACCTATGAGACCGCACAGTGAGAGACTAATTGTCTCACCGCACTACAGAGAGAGACATATCATGTCAGAAATGAGATATCACCTGTAGAAGGGGCTGGCACCTCAGGGCGAGGTCTTTGCCTCGGATTACCTTTTCTGGTATAGCGGACCAGCTCCGCCCCGAAGATCTGCACTAGTCCCAAACTGGCAGGCTTCGATAAGAATCTGCGGAATTAATAATCCCAGCATTGCTGACACAGAGCCTGTATAACTCGTAACTATATATACTCACCATTTCCATATAAAGCAATGCGCCGATAAGCCCAACAATCCCCTCTACACACGTCACGATCAGTACCCTACCGACCAGACAGAGGACATATCAGCATCCAGCCAACACAAAATGGCAGACACAGACGACCTCACGCTAACAATCCACCACCAAAGCAAACCGCACACCCTCACCCTCCCCTCCACCTCGACGCTCGAAGACCTTTCCAACACAATAGCCACAACACTCCACATCCCCCCAGAAACGCAAAAGCTCCTTATATCCCCAAAACCCGGCATGCAAAAGGCCCCATTCCCACCCACCCCCCTAACAACAGTCCTGCCGCTCAGCTCCCCAAAATTCAAAATCACCCTCCTCGGCACCCCGACAAAAGCCATCGAGGCCCTGCACGCGCAATCCGAGGAAACCGCACGCCGCGCCTCAGCGCGCGCCTCGGCATTCGCTGCAGCCGCGAAACATAAACCAGCCCGGACGGCCGGTAGTGGTGGTGTGCATACGCTCTCGGATTCAAGCAGCTCGTACACGTTCCACCGACTCCTGCCGTTATCGTACTTGCCTCGTCCGGAACGGTCGCTGGAGTTCTTGAAGCGGCTGCGCGACGATCCCGGGATCAAGGCTGCGATGGCCAAGCATAAGTTCTCAGTGCCGGTGTTGACGGAGATGAATCCTGCGGAGCATACGACGATGGAATCGCGGACACTAGGGTTGAATCGAAATAAGGGCGAGGTGATTGAGTTGCGGCTGCGCACGGATGCGTACGATGGGTATCGCGATTATCGGACTATACGGAAGACGTTGTGTCATGAGCTGGCGCATTGTGTGCATAGTGACCATGATCGCGCGTTTTGGGACCTGACGGCGCAGATTGAGAAGGAGGTGGAGAGGGCAGATTGGAAGCATGGAGGAAATAGACTGACTGGGCAGGACTTCTATGTGCCGGAGGATTGGGAGGCGGAGAAGGATATGGAGATTGTGGATGAGTGTGGGTGGACTGGGGGCGAGTTTGTGCTGGGTGGGTTGAGGGAGGATGGGGTAGGGATGAGGGCTGGGGCGCAAGGTGCTGAGGGAAGGAGAGAAATGTTGGCGAGAGCTGCGGAGGAGAGGATGAGGAAGAAGAGAGACGATGAGAGTAGAGAGGGTGGTAATTGATGTGGCTTGGGTTGAATTTGTGTGCATCTATTCCTAATATTTTTGTATATGAAGTAATGATAATGAAGACATGACTGCATTAAAGCTATTTCCTATATTTGTTTTATATACTAAACTTGCGTCAGATACAGGATAGTTGGTATATGACTTGTTTACACCTGTTCGTTGACGAACAATCCAGCCATGCCCTGTCCGGTACCAATGCACATACTCGTGACCAGCACCTTCTTCTTAGTCCGTCTTGCCTCGCTAAGAACTGTGCAGATCTGGCGAGCACCTGTGGCGCCCAGGGGATGGCCGAGTGCGATGGCACCGCCGCGGGGGTTGACCTTGGCATGGTCCAAGCCGAGGTTCTGCAAACAGTAGACAGCCATGGAGGCGAAGGCCTCGTTGATCTCGAAGATATCGATATCGTCCTTGCTCAACTTGAACTGGGAGAGCAACTTGGGGATAGCAGCGGTAGGGCCGATACCCATGATGCGAGGAGGAACGCCAGCAACAGTGGCACCACAGAACTTAGCCAGGATAGGCTGGTTAAGTTCGATGGCCTTGGAGCGACGCATGAGGAGGATCGCGGCAGCTTCATCATATTAGCATCTAAGTATAGTATCGATCGTGAAGGAACTCACCGCCGTCAGTCACTTGGCTGGAGTTGCCACCAGTGCTCCGGTTGCCGAACTTGGGGAAAGCCGGTCGGATCTTGCCGAGAGACTCGGCCGTCGTTCCATACCGGATACCCTCATCCTTGGTCAAAGTAACCTGCTTGACCTCACCGGTCTTGGGGTCCTTCACCTTGGTGGTGATGGGGACGATCTCATCATCGAACCAACCAGCCTTCTGGGCCTCTTCCGCGCGGCGGTACGACTCGGCGGCATACTTGTCCTGAACCTCACGGCTGATGTTGAAGTCCGATCCGACGTTCTCGGATGTCTGGCCCATGGGCTGCAGGCAGTCGGCAGACTCCTGGTTCTTCAGGACCTCCTCGCTGAAAGGACGGACCGGCTCACCGCCAGCAGACATCAACTCGGCACCAAGGGCGATACCGACATCGATCTGACCCAATGTGATCTGGTTGGCAATGTCCTGAACAGCCTTGAGGCCGGAGGAGCAGAACCGGTTGACGGACGATGCGCCGGATGTGTTGGGGATACCGGCCGCAAGGGAGGCGGCACGGAGGAGGTAGGGGGCCTTGCCGTCATTGACCTTTGCATTGTCAGCATGAATCCTCTCTTTGGCCGAGGTAGGAAAACGTACATTACCCAAGCAGACATCCTCAACCAAAGCAGGGTCGATCTTGGACTTGTCTACAACCTCCTTCAACAAGGAGTAGACTATATAGTCCAACTCTGTGTCCTTGAATCCACCCTTGCCGGCCTTAGCCAAAGGAGTACGCAGAGCAAGTGTAATGACTACATCGTCTGGGTTTTTCTGGGTGCTGCGCAAGTCAGTCAGTATACTTCCCCCGCGTGATGCGGACGGCAACCTACATGGCGGAAAGGCCAGTGTTTCCTCCCTTGAGGTGGCTGAGAATGGAATTCAAGCGATCTGTGGCCATGGTGTATGTTATGTATCTATCCAGACCGCGTTAGCAGTTCCACGGTTTGAAGCTCGACACAGAAGCAGTAATAGAAAGAACACGGGACAGCCAGCTCATTATGTAGCAGCGGTAGCAGTGATATGTACCTCTGCGGGGAAGGACGGTGGTCTAGGCTGCTGCACTTGCGAGAGGGGATTGGAATTACACGACATCACTTACCAAGTTATTGTTAACTCTGGTGAGAGAAAGTAGAGGAATTGCAGAGGGACGAAGAGCGGTGATATAGAGGAAAGGAGGAGAGCGAAGGCGACCTTTTCCACCAGCAACCGAGGAAGAGCCGAGGCTCGTTCTGCTTTCCCCATATTAACTAACCCTTAACCAGACTAAGATTAATCCGACCATTAAATCATTAATAATCGCCAAGCTCCTTGGATTGGTTTTTAGTCTGCAACTAAACTAAAGCGATGTATGGAAGCTTGGACTAAATTTAAATTCTACAAAGCCATGTGAAATTGCAGCATAATCAGCAAAAATCGAAAGAACTCCGAGACACCCGTCCCGTCCATACCGCGCCATCCTCCAAGCAAGCCTGTCCAATATCGGAATTATTCTATAGAAATTTTCCCACATGCCTACAAGCGATTGTGCAAATCCTCGTTGCTGACTACGCTGCCCACCTCCGACCAGCTGGCTGGGGTGGCGACTCCTTGCGTCGACCGTCCATGGTCACTCAACGTGCCATCTGACCATTCGTCCGCAGCGGATTCATAAATCTGACTGAAGCTACCAGCCGTTGACGGCGTAGACGGTCGCTCGTGGTGTTCGGCGCCAGTAGAATCCAAATCCGACAGATCGGAGAACGGTGATCTCATATCGCGGCCAATCTCATTCGGCGAAGGACCCGGATGAGCAAAAAGTATTTCTGAATAACCCTCGGTATGACTCGACGACCGTGAAAGGGGTCGCTCGACCTCCTCGGTAGGATTCAGTGTAGACGATGAGAAGTCCATACCTGATGTCTCGGAAGTAGGTGTGTAGTCAATAAGTGTCGCAGAAGCTGCAGCCGCACCTGCAGCTGCTGGTATCGCCACTTGCAGGTTCTGCCTCGTAAGAGCTGTGCCAGTAGTCTGCGTTTCGGCCATAGGAGTCGGAGAAGCATTATGTTTACCGCGCTGGATAGCCTGGGATGCTGTCATCTCTACGGCGGTAGAGCTACCCTTACCCAGTCCTCGAGGAGGTTCTGGGCTGTCAGTCCGAAGCAAACAGCCATTATCATCAACAAGCGCATCGAACGATCCTGCCGGGGCACTTTCCCTTCTTTTTCGGTGTTCCTCGAGCACAGAACGTCGTCGTTGGAGCTCTTCCCTTGCTATCCGCCTACGCTCTTCAGCTTCCGGACCCAGCTCTTCAGTCATAGATATATCTTGCCTCGTAGGTGAGGCAGACGTTCGAGGGTGGATCTCATCGCCGAGATTATGCAATGCGACGGCAATCTTGCGTCGCGAAGTGTTGACCCATTCTCGAAACTGAGGCGATTCATAAACTGCAATGCCCGCAGCAACAAGGGCTGAAACAGTGATAATTATTCCTACCAACGCGAGGGAGTGTTAGCTATCCAGTTCTCACCACGGAGACCGATATCAACCATCTACTGATAAGCACACCGCCCGGCTGAGCCGGCCAACGAGCTCGTAGGATATAGATAAAGAGAAAAGAGAGGCGAACCTACCTTTTGCAACCGGTGTTGGCATCTTGACCTCCCGTGGTCAAATTGTGTCGCTTCCCTCCTCTAACTGACCATGCCAGGCAGCCAAGTAAAAGGAAGGCGATGTGAGCGTCATCAGATGCGCGGCACCCCGCGGCCCGCCACGTGACGTCAACACAGCCCTTATCCGGAAACCCTACCATCCGCTTTGGGCATTCCGTTGTTTTTCCCCTCCGTGTCGGACATCAACATTGTGCTTGATTGAGCATCTGTTTACCACCACCACTGCTGTTGCTATACATGTAAGAGCTCATTGACAGCGAACATGTCTCGGCCATCGTCCACGTCCCAGCGTCCCTTGACGCTAACTGAGGAATTGGAAAAGCTTGAACAATCTATCACCCTGACCCTACAAGGTAAACAACGATAAGACCGAGTTCAACGAAGATCATTAACCAATGCTTTTCCAGAAATCGATCACAATTTCAGCCAGGCCCATCGAATCGTTACAACTAGTATCCTCCCCCTTGTCGAGAAATACGCAGAACACTCCCACGATGTTTGGGAAGGCGCCAAATTCTGGAAACAATTCTTCGAGGCGAGCGCAAATGTCTCCCTCTCAGGCTATGAGGAACGACCCAACGAAGACACATTGCAAGAACAAAGTGTAACAGAAGGCGACTCAACTGCCGACGCCACACCGAGCAACCTTACCGATACTGGCACATACGAAACACCCTCCTCCGACCATCTAGATATCAACCACCGCCCGGACGACCTGGAGCTGACATCGCTGAGCCTGTCCTCTCATAGCACACCCCGGCCGCCCGTTTTCGACCGACCAGATGATAACGATACGACTGTGACGTCGTCCATCGCCCGACCATCACCGTACGAGGCTCTGAAGAGGGAAATCGACGAGAGCGACGCGCCCTTTGAAGGCGAAGATGATGATCTCCCCACTACCCCCGGAAGGCCTTTCCGCCCACAGGGATATTCGTTTAACCCGCGCGACGAGCTAATGTCATCCTCGCCATTCGTTCCTCCAGTGTCACATGAAAAGTTTTCTGTGGGCAAGAGCCCCGCTGATCCGGTCTTGCATCGTCTCCAGGACAAGACGTATCGAGTTCAGGCCACTCCGCTCGGAAAGGATCATGGAGCAGGGCGCTCTAAATTCACTATAACGCCGAAACCCTCCGCATCCAAATATGCCTATGATGACTCGCCGATCTCCAGCCCTGAACCCGAAGCACCCCAGCTCCATGCGGAAATTTTCTCCTCGCCTGTCAAAACCCCCGGTACCAACCGGAAGCGACGTACGAGTAGTCATCTGCGTGTTACGCCAAAGCCCGGGATTAGTGTATTGACGCCAGTAAAGAGCGGTGGCACAAACCGACCAGTGTGGGACAGCGACGATGACTTCGACAATGACGAGGATGAGGATCTGGGGCCGAGTCCGCCGAAAACAATGCAGTTCCATATTCCCCAGAGCAGGTTAATGAAGACTCCAGGTTCGTCCGCTTAGCCCGGTGTAATCGCACAGGTTGACTGATAATCTACAGCAAAAGAAGCATCCAGACGAATTGTCGAGGATTTGTTATTTACCGCCGGGGCAAATGACACAACAGATGATATTGCAAACGAGCAGAGTCCCAGCATCATCCAAAGGGTCCAGCGCATAGAGGATGAGACGTTTTGAATTGGTGAGGATGGGTGGTCCGTAGTTTTAGCAGTTATGTAAAACACTTAGGCATAATCAAACATAAAAGAGGTATCCGCCAGACAGTGCCGGGATGATAATACCTATCCCATTGCTAGACGCTAGACTAACACATCACGCACACAAGGTAGAAGCCGCAATACACAAAAGTCTGACGTCGACCCAGGCGCTGCAAACGCCGGGCATTTCACACATCCACACATAAAACATCCCCGGCAGCAACTAAGGACTAACTTCGAACCTGCGGAATGGAGTAAAAAGAAATAGAGAATTACATAGGCATACTGCAAACACAAGAAGGGTATTGAGCGTGAGGCGCTGATCATGAGGGGCTCAGGGAGGGGTGACAGAAATCGCCATATATGTACAAAGGTCGAGCTGATGAGTCTTGGGGTATTCTAGTGGTAGAGAAATTGAGGAACATTGTCCAAAAATGGAAGAAAGGAAAACAAAAATGAAAAGCCTCGAAGCCTGATGCCAGACCAAGCTTTGAATGGACTTGCAAGGAGGGGGGATATTCTATCATTGCAGACCCATGAATACCTCTTGACAATTTTCCACCAAAAACTTCAACACATCATTCTTCTTTTGCACATCCGTCATCTCACGTGCCAAACTTTGCGGTCTCATGATAGTTGGAGCAAAAACAACTGCAATGTTCTGGCTGGTCATCAAATTCTCCTTCTCTCGCTCAACCACACGCTTCAAATGGAACATGAGGAATTCAAGAACATCGCGGTGGACTCTGGGGAGTTCCAGAAGACATTTCTGCAGGGTCTCGATCCGCTCAGGCTGCGAAGGGATTTCGCCAGTTTCAATAATCTTCTCGTACACATCAAATGTGATCAATGGGTTGGGTAACTTTCGGAAGTATTGCTTTAAGGCCGATGTCACCGCATGAATATCGAGGTCAGGATCCGAGATATCATAGTCCTGTGGCTGTCGCTCAAACCCATCTCGAATAGTCTGAATCGCCGAGCTAGCACCTGACTTGCGGTAGATGCCTTCCATGTCCATGCCTAAAACGACTGTTAGTTTGCGCAATTAAAAAGCCAGCGATTAAGGACAAACCTCGTAATTCGACCTCTTGAATGCAACGAGTGATAATAGCGGGAATGATGCTCTTTTCGTGCTCCATGCGCTGCTCCAAGTCGGTACCAAAGAGACCTAAAATTCATCAGTTAACGCGACTCGGACAGAAGAGTCGATGATACATACCTGCCGAGCCAACTTCGGCCAAGGCTGGAACACTGTCAGTCGTTGGCATCCTTGTACCAGCCTGCTTATTTCGCTGGTTTCCAAAGAATCCAAATCCTTGGCGGCTAGGGTCCTGCGTCTGGGACCGTGGCAGACCAGGGGTAGCTTCGCTCTCACTTGTACCAAATGCACGATTGAGGCCCTTGGTGACACCCTTGGCAACGTTTTGACCTCCCTTCTTCCAGTTGAACTTGCGAGGTTGTCCCTTCCGAATGCTGACAACTTGGGGCCCGGGAACAATGGTGGCTGGCTCTGCCTCTTCAGACATATTAGCTGTCGACATCGATGTGGCCAAGTCATTACTGCCAGCCTTAAGTGCATCAATGGAAGACAATGACTTCTCCTTTCCATGTGAATAAATACCGAGACCATTTGCGCCGCGGTTGCTCTCTGAAGAATTAGCTTTATAGAGCTCCTGGATTTGGTGCACCAGCTGATTGTTCAATTCAGCCAGCTGAGCATTCTTCGAGGACAGCTGCTCGAACTCCTGGAAGCTCTTGTCCTTCATACGGTTGAAGTTTGCGAGTTCTTCGGCAGTCTCGTTGCGTTTCTGAACCAGTTCCTCGATCTGAGGTGTGAAGGAGTCCTTCAATTTCTGGATGGACTCGACAAAATCCCGCAGTACTTGATTCGTGAGCTTACCAAGGTCTAGAGTGCCACCACCGCCGCGCTTCTCAGCTTCGAGATGGTCGGTCAACACCGAAAGTTCACGCATGACAATCTCCTTGCGAGCGTCCAGCACAACCATGGTAGAGCGCTTCTCATTAAGCTCCGTGTTGGCTTGCTTCACGTCCGCAGTGGCGTTCAACATAGCCTCCATTTCAACAATTTTATGGTCCCGCTCAAGGACTCGCTGGCGCTCCTTGCGCAGTTCACTCCGCAACCATGCCACTTCTTCAGGTCCGGCGCTCTCTGGGGAGACGGTGGTGGGACTTCCAAGGTCTTGGAACGGAGTGGTCCCATTGACCGGCGACTTGGGCCATTTGGTATCCTTGGACAAATGAGAACCTTTATCACTGAAGCTGCGACCATGACGCACTGAGTTTGAAACACGACGCAGGAACGACTCGCTATTCTGTGCCGACAGAGGGTCATCAGATGACATAAGTCGGGCCATATCCTCATCCATAGAAAAGTCGCCCGCACCACTATACCGTAAGACCGATGGAGACCCCGCACGGTCTACCTGGCGCTGTAAGTCGGACTGATGGAAGGTGTTGATTGAGTTCGGGCGCGGGGGCTTCGACTGCTCCGAGTTGGTATTATGGCGTGAAATCCGAGGGGATTCACCTAGTTTAGGCGAAGCCTTGGTTCGGTCGAGCCACGGCTCACCCGGGGCAATAGATTGTGGGCGAGGGGGCATGCCGGGCTCTTTTCTGGTAAGGTGCAGCTTGCTTTCCAACGAATCTCCGCGTTTAGGAGGGTGTTGCATGCTACCAGAGGACAGGAACGACCGCGCAGAGTCCAAGGACCCGCTATTCTCGTGCAAGCGACGAAGCTCATGTGATGGCCGAATGGGTTGAGCTACAGAGCTATCTAGCGCTGATGTGTCCCGGTGAGGAGTAGCTGCCGACCTTGTACTCTCAGGACTCGAGTTGGAAAACGTGCTGGTCTCCTTATGACCCGGGGGCAAATCTGACCGAGAACTCTGAAGAGAGCCCGACCTCGCACGTCTTGGCAGTTCGGGCGGCGCTCTGGAGTCCTCACTAGTTGTTGGACGAGAGTAGGCGCTGGTATCATCTTGCCGCCAGCGGGCGGTGTCAACATCAACACGTTCACGGCCCTTCTCTTGGTACGCTATATGTGGTGACGAGCTACCCGAGGGCACCGACTCCGTTCCCTCCCTAGGGGACCGATGCAAAGAACCGGGAGATTTAGAATGCTGAGGCGACCGCTGTTCTTCAGAAGGATCAAATGCCAGGGGAATAAGGAATTCTCCGCCATCTGTTTCGGGTTCGCGTTGTACCATTGAGTGACGGTTACTACGATATGTGCTCGAAGGAAGAATTAAGTTGTCTAAGACAGATCCCGGTCAGTAAGTGTCTTCAACCTTTTAGAGTGAATCTTACCTTGATCAGCAGTAGTACGAGTACCAGAGGAGCCCTGCATCCTCCCCGCGTCCAGCGCAGGCGTTACACCTCGCGACGACCCCTCTGGGACTGGTTCTGTATAAGCATCCGGTACTAGGTCGTCTGTGAATCGTGTGTGGTCGGCTTCCTCTGGGGGTAGCGAAGGCAGCGATTTGTCAAGTTTCACACCGGGCGCTGGCTTCTTCGAAGGCGCAGCTGCACGGTTTCGCTTTCTGCGGCGTTGCATTAAAGACTCATGACAGTCCATGCAAAAGATACCCTGTGACGTCCGTGCATAGCGCAGATTTTCGATTTTCCGTTTACAGTTTCGGCATCGGAAGCACTGCGCGCAAAATGCTTGTTCTCCGGTCAAGATGGCTAGGTCTTCAATTTTGTTTCCGCAAGAACTGCAGCTGTACGTGCAATTGCTACAAATCAGCGAGCCGTCACCGAGTAGGAGGAGGTGGGCGTCCGAGTCGAGGAGCGT